TTATCTTCAGACAGAAAGGCCCACAAACAAACAAACAACAACTAAAAGCTGCTGCATTAATAACCTGGCTGTGCGCTAAAAAGGAGGAAACCCAGCACCCCAGTGATGTCCATTGTTCACGACTCAAGGTGATCATTGGACACACCCTGGACATGTCACCAGACTCTGTTAGCAAGGCTAACACACAGAGAGAGACAACCATTCATGTTCACATTCACATCTGTCTGCAATATAGATTTCCCAACTAACCAGTACACCCAGTAACATAAAGAGAAAAGGTTGATAATTTACATATTTCTTCAGAATTTACTGGGAAAACTGGTGTTTAAAACCTGAGATATAAAAGAGAGTCATAGACTCTCTCTCACCTGCACCACAAACAGTAGGAAGTTATATTTACATATTATTATCACACTTCCTCATTTATCTTGAGGGACAGTCCACAGTGAGGTATTTCCTGTTATTTTTCCATAGCTTAATGCAAACAAGTCCTTTCATAACTCATATCTACACTGTGTCTTTGTGTCAGAGGGAAAGTCTGAATCTTAATATTCAAATACTGAGTACAAAGAGAGTGTGTGTTAGTACAGATGGTTATTTCCTGCACAGCTGTCTGCATGAACACCAGAGAAGAACCAGATGTAAGTTTCTAACCTGCAGGCTCATTTCATGTTTGTGTACAGAGGTGCTGTGTGGACCACATTTGAACTGTTGCTTCTTTCTTCTTGGACAATTTTAAACAGATGATCATTTATTAAGAAGAATCATATATTTCTTACAGCAGTGTGTGATAAACTAGATATCTGTGTTTAATATAAAGTGCTGCATGTCCATCAAACACTGAAGAGCTGCTGGATTCATTGTTTCCTCCAAATGACAGAAAAGTCATTTTCATGTGACAGAGCGACGATGCAGTGGAGTCTGTTTGTGCTTCTTCTGATGGGTGAGTGATCATTTTACCAGGGCTCCTGATTGTTTCCACCTAAAATCCTTTAGTTTGATCAGGACTCATTAAACAAATGAACTCTTACTGAGAAAATCCAGGATTCACCTGTAAACTGGACAGTTTGATGGGAACATGAGTTTCCTGCTTGTATCAGCAGATATTCAACAGTATTTCTTCTGTTTTAGGTCAGCGTGTCTTCATCACATGTCAGCTGTATGAGTACCACTTTATTAAAGAAGAGATGAGATGGAATGAAGCACGGGCATACTGCAGAGAGAACTACACAGACCTGGCCAAAGTGTTTGACCTGACAGACATGAGAAGACTTCAAGACTCTGCACAGAGTCAAACACAAGCCTGGATTGGACTGTACAGAGAGCCAGGAAGAGACAACAGGACGTGGCGCTGGTCTCTGCCGGGGGAGGAATACACTGAAAATAAGACCTGTTGGGGAGCTGGAGAGCCAAATGATTATCATGGCACCCCTGAGAACTGTGTGAGGACATCAGAGAAGTGGGTAGATGTTATATGTACTAACAAACATCAGTTCATCTGCTATGACGGTGAGAATATGTGAACAGTAATGTGATGAAACAATATTTAATAATGTTATAATGTAGTTTCTAATCTGTGTTATATCACATGTTCCTGAAAGAGACATTTTGAAGAATGAGACAAATTAGCTCATAAAGATGTTTTTGTGTTTTTCTGTTGATTTGACAGAAACAATGAAAGACAATAAAATGTTTCATTTGATTGCGGAGGAGAAGAACTGGACTCAGGCTCAGAACTACTGCAGACAGCATCACACCGACCTGGCCAGTGGACTCGATCAGATATACAGTGAAGAGTTTAAGACGCTGCAGAACTCTACAGGCTCTAAGGTGAACTTGTGGATCGGCCTGTTCAGAGACAGCTGGAGGTGGTCAGATGGGAGTAACTTCTCTTTCAGACACTGGGACATGGACTCATTTAATGATGGACTAAACAACAGGA